AAGCGCACGAATTCTCTTGGAGCTTTTCATACCTCATAGAGGTCTACTAAGCGTCAAAAGACGGGACCTAAAGGGCTTGAACACCTGGGGAAGTTCCCTTGTAAATTATTTTGTAGTTCATTTTCGGTATACTCTCACCTAAAGTTTTGCAAAAAGTTTATTAAACCTTGTCTTAAAGTAGAGAACCATATTAGTCTTCAATTAGCATACATTACTGTTTTTCTCTTTAGGAAAGTTTTAAAAGTTTTTTTTAACAGACTGTCCGTAGCCAGTATTCGCGATCAAACCTTTTCTGGGTATTGAACACCATTTTGTTTAGTTTGCCAACGTACTTCAAACCTTTTGGACTCCGTTGAAAACTTTTTGATATGTATCGTGATGTTGCTTTGTCTTGTTCTGAGTAAATGAGATTTTACCTTTTCGGAAAATGATTATGAGAGATGAAGCTACGCTGTTTATTGATTGAACGCATGCATTTCAATACCACTACGTCAGATATTCAGTTAGTTGTGAGGAAAGCGTTAGTTTCTACTTTCTTGTTTTAATTGTAGCATTTTGTATTGTCAAGCTAATTCATTAAGTAATGAGCACATTTCGCCTAGCAGCATTAGTTTGGGCAGTCATAATTTGTTTGTACGTTATCATTGGCTTCCCTTATATTGTTAGTAAGTACTTTAATCACCCGGAAACAAATTTGGTTAAACCTACTCGTAAAGGTAAGATACGAGACACTGTACTTAGAAACTGCACAGTTTTAGTGCGAAAAAAATACGTATTCGACTCGCACCCTCGGTTTCCTCATGGCCATCAAGGTTTCCCTTCACCACAGTTGAATCTTCGTCTTCTTACGAAAGAACAAGTGGAAATAAAGGACTCCCCTAAGATAACTTCTAGAAGAGAAAAAGTGATCAAAAGTTTGTATGGTTTTAATGGCGAAAGATCTTGGCTAAAACATGTAAATTCTTTAGACGACGATAATTTAGCCCCTCTCACTAAGTTTGCACAGAATGTTATTTATCAGCACCAAAATCCGCATCCTTCAAGATGTAAAGGCAAAAGGTTTCTCGTGGTAACGCATTTTGAGAATGCTGGCATTGGAGCGTTAACACACTTCATTGGTTCTGCTTTGGGACGTGCAATCGATTACAACAGAATACTTATGTGGGACATACGAACTAACAGTAGAACAACTGGTTGGCATTATTTTGATGCAGGATGTGCCGGAAATAGTCGTCATGACACCCTTGACTGCTTGTATGAGCCATTGACAAGTTGTAGCTATGAGCACTCAAATGAAAATAATACTGTTTATACTAACGGATGGGATGATGGAACTGACAAAGATGAACCATGGCATAAATTTAGTGCACCTTCGTTATTCACACAGGCCCTTCTTCAGTATTCGGCAGTACCAATAACTCCAACAGCAATTAAATATTGGTGGCGCGGGCAAGCTACTGCTTATATACTTCGGCTGAATGAACTATCGCTATCGAAAATTCGTGCGTTACGGCTTGATCCTTTGTTACATACTGGCTTTACTGTTGACAAAAGCAGCAAACTGCTTCAAAACATACCTGTTCCATTTCCAATGCCAGCACACTCCTTCAATATACATGTTCGACACGGGGACAAAGGGAAGGAAATGCGTCTTATTCCTTTTCGACAGTATGTTGAAGAAGCTGAATGGTTTGCAAAACAAAACCCTAACTCGTACCATAAATTAGCATTTCTATCTTCGGAAGATCCCTCTATCTTTGACGAAGCAAAGCAGATCACGTCAGTAACTTTTGATTACGGTTTGACTTCACCAAATGAAAACTGGATTTGGTACATGAGCAAAATAAAACGTCTTAATACTGGTCCAGTCCAACAACTACGAGTGTTTCAGAGTCGAAGTGATGCAACGCTTTCTTGGCTGCTTCAGTTATTCATGGCTCTCGAATGTGATGGATTTGTAGGTACTTTGAATTCGAATTGGAATAGAATCATCGACGAACTACGATGTATATGGACAGATAAATGCATGCAGCCGTATCTTGAAGTTGGTGACGTCGTGGATTGGGCTAATTATCATTGGTAATAAAGGGTAAAGACATTTTGTCAAAACAGACCAATCCATCTTATTATGAAAGCAACACATTCTACTGAGTCTCAGTTCTACTTACGCGACAAAAACTTTCAGTTCAAGTTAGCTAATTCTCTTTCTCGTAGAGAAGAGTCTTAGAAACATAAATCGATTGCTTGCTTGCTTGCGTGTTCGCAGAGTCAAAAAAACATCGAAACTTAATTTTCAGAAAAATACATTTTTAGAGGTTTGTCGATGCGGACAACTCGAATATCAGGCTAGTTTTTACCAGAAGACTATTAGCAGTAACCTAATAGTAACTTATCAGCGACTTTCACTATTTCGCATAAAACTTGACCAAAGGGTAATTGGGATCAAGGAACTCGAATTGGATGTTCGCCACTAAAAACAATTTTGTTCCTTTCCTAAGACAAAGAACTACTTTTACAAACGTTTTCTTTTATAAATGCTACCCGAAGGTTTTTCGAGGTAGAGGACCACGAATTATATGGTAATATTTTATAAGAAAAAGTGTTTCTTCTGTTTTTGGAGATGGCTCATTTTTTTCTCAAAAAATTGTGTAAATAAAGAGTTTCAGTAATTATCCAGTATAGGATATCTACGAGAAAGAGCTTAGCGAGTCCCCGGACGAGCATTACTTGTAAATTAACTCATTGACTCTCTGTGAAACGAATTCGCATCAGCATATCTTACCCAGTCGGGTACACTTTGTCAACAGAATATTTTGCGCACAGTCAAATTTTTTAAGAATCTGTTTTATGCTGACCAAAACTAGCGTTTTCCAAAATACAGCGAAAACAATAGAGTCAAGTAGTTTCTGTTGAATAGAGTGTAAATACTCAGATAAGAAAAGACAATAAATATAGATAATCACATATTGTATCCTATTTTTATTAGCTTTTAATAATTTTGCTAATAAAAACAAGTAGCGTTCGTCGTGCCGACTCACTTCACCCTCGACTGTAGAATACAGATATACTGTCTGCGTGTGCTATTAATGAGGCGAATCAATCTAGCAACTTCACGTACGATGAAACGGTAAAACCTTTTCTGTTCAACTATTTATTAACTCTCGCAAATAAANTAACTGACGAGCATGTTATGATAGAAATAACGTATTCGGGTGACTCCAGGCAACACATCAGCTTTCACTTATAGTCAGACTGTAGCATCATTCTTGGTGGTATCAGATTCGATATAAACGAGGAAGACTACGTTCTGGAGCCTAGACTAATTAATACAAGTAGCGTTCGTCGTGCCGACTCACTTCACCCTCGACTGTGGAAGACAGATATACTGTCTGCGTGTGCTATTAATGAGGCGAATCAATCTAGCAACTTCACGAACGATGAAACGGGAAAACCTTTTCTGTTCGACTTTTTATTAACTCTCGCAAATAAAATACCTTATTGTCTTTGTAAAACAAATTTGACGATATAAAAGGTCTTTATTTATTGTGAATTTATCACCAGTAACGCTGTTCGGGCACTCTTGCTGAACGCTCGGCTGATTTTCTTCCCATTGTACTCCTGTCATTAGAACTATACAAAACATGTATCAACCCACTTATCTCGCAGTCGGTCGTCGACGTCCCTCCGGTCCGCCACTCCCGATTGCTCGATATTGCTCATAGCATGTACACTTTGTCAAATGACAGGCGCCTTTCTCCTCCACCATTCACACACAATTTAACTGCCTCAACACAATCAGTATAAACACATCTTCCAGCTGCAGCTTTGTCTTTCCTTTATTGAACGTTATCAGATACTGACAGCCCGCCTTATCGATAGGGCCCCATAAAAAATGCATATAAGACGCTCAATGCATGATTCATCCATCCTAGACATCGAATTTCACAATCTCATATGGCGCGCTAGCTATCGATCCATTTTATGATTTGCGGCAACTATCAATCAGCCTCATCTATCTCCACGCGCTATTCGTCACGTTTCCGTCATTCTTTGCCTTCAATCATGCCACAGATAGACACCATTCAAACGACTTTTTCTCAAGAGACCATGTGGCGAGTCTTCGTCCATGTTCCCAATACAGTATTTGCTTAGCCAAATTGCCGAGTTAGTAAATTCTTAGTTCATGCCTCAAGTCATATCTCGACGCTATAAATATGCTTTTCCGTCGAGCGTAGATTCGATCGGAAAAGACTACTCTTCAAATGGCAAATATTTCGAGAAAAACTATTTTTAATCTTTCACTCTTGGCCCTTGACCCTCTTCCACACCATTGGCCACATCTCCGACCTTCGGCCACTGTCGCCCACGTTTTGCCACCAACAAACAAACGATTCTATTTCATATGACCCTCCTTACAGTCGAGGGAATAAGAAGAGTCAAACGATGACGCAATACAATAAGCACTAGGGCCACTTCAATCGAACAACATCGCTACCATACACAACATATCAAATGTACCACGAAGCATACACAAGAGTCAAAAATATAGAACGTGAACCAGCAATCTTAGTGTGCCCTAAGTCAATCCCACTTTACAGGCATCCTCATCCACATAACTCTGCCCATTAACTTCACCACCACGAGACCAATAGCCATTCCATCCAGAAATAGGCATCTCCGCGAAAAAGCATCTCTAACTCTCATTTATGAGTCCAACTAGAACAAACACTCAACTACAAAACAATACTTTTACCATTAACACAAATTTACCACGACCATCACCAACAATTATCACTTACTCGTGTCGATTTTTTTTCTTTGCCTTTGTCAAATTTCCATATATTGCACAGGTTTAACTCAATCAAGTAGGATTACATTTGACACGTCTGACTCTACCGAATGTATCTTTTGATATCTCTATTTTTCGCCTTCAGTGCATTCAGCTACACTGAAAAAAAAATCCGTTGAATGATCTATCCTTGTACTGTTTATTTCTGCTGATAAACTCTTCAAGGGTTTATGGTCTTCTGATAAAGCCTTCAAAGGTATATTGAACATTGCGTTTATCAATCATAGGGTATATGGGCATTTAACGGGTACGTCACATTTATGAAAGCGACTTTACGAAAGTATTTCGGCGTATGCGTCTGTTGTTCAACGCTTAACCGTATATCGATCTCAAGTATCGACACAACCGTATACCATGATACGATCTGAGGTTTAACATCTTACTTGTTTTGTAAAAGGGTTTATCGCTCTACTAATAAAGGTTTACCTTTCTCCCCTTCGAAAATCAGTATATTATTCTACTGATAAAGGTTGATTCTTCTCTCCATTGAATCAGAGGGTATTTTATCCTTCGGAAAAAACTAATCTTTCTATTGTTCACTTTTGAAAGGTTTATCTATGCACAGTTAAGTGCTGATGCACTTTCAGGGACCTGGAAAGGGTTTATCTTTAGGTGACTGGACAATTCGTCGTCGGACAATTCGTCGCAGACGATTCGTTGCAGACTATTCGTCGCACGGACAATTCGTCGCATAGACAATTCGTCGCAAGACAATTCGTCGCACATTTAATTAATTGTAACACGAAGAATATACACATAAGACTAATTTATAGAAATTGATAAATGATTGTTTATCGATGAGAGATAATTTTATNAAAGGCAAGGCTGTGGAGGAGCCGGCACTTGTGAAAAAATTATTAGAGCTATCTGATAGTAAGACTGAACATTTACCGAGTTTATTACCATTAGTTCCTGGAATGCCAGTTATTATTACACAAAATATTGCTATTGAACTGGGATTAATTAATGGCGTGAATGGAATCTTTAGGCAACTGGTTTATGATCTTGATTCAGTGTCAACAGATAGTCTTTCAAAAACTTTTCCAATGAACACCCAATATGTCCATAAGCCAATATATGCATTGGTCGAAATCAGTAAATCAAAGATTGAATGTAATCTTAAAAATCTGCAACCGAAACTTGTCCCAATACCAATAATCGAACAGACATTCCAAGTTGACATTTCTGATATTCTTACGAAGATAAACAACAAAAAATCGAAAACAAATAGAAAGGCAATGTTATCGATTAAGCGACGCGCATTACCGCTCGTGCCCGCCTATTCTATCACAACTCATAAAAGTCAGGGACAAACTTAAAACAAAGTCGTAATTGATTTAAAGTTACCAAAGGATACAGATGATATCGCTCCAGTCTATGTACCATTGTCCAGAGTCAAACGTTTAAGTGATTTAATTATTTTACGACATTTCGATTACAAAGTCTTACTGATCAAACACAGTAAATCTCAAGTCGCCGAGATGCAAAGACTAGATAAACTCTACATAGAAACACAAATGCGCTTTTCAGAGTGGTTCTAACAAATTTTACAGAACATTTCAAATCTTCATTACTCGTGATCAATTTTTCGCATGTGATTTATTTGCATCTTTTATAATTGAACAAATCTCTTGTATAATTCAAAGTTTTTTCTATTCATTTATTGTTTGCAAATATAAGTGCAAGTTTCTTTTCGAATTTTTCTGCAGATGTATTTTTTGTTTAGCTTTTCCAATCTGTACTTGTTTATATTCAATCAATATTCACTTGTTTTTTCTTTTCTTTTGTGCAGTTGATCATTATATCGTTAGCGTGCCTTTACTTCATAGAGAAATAAATAAATACAGTTTATATTATATTAGAAAGTATTTTTTTTAACTGAAAGAAAGAAAAACAAAAAACAAATTGATAATATATTGTGATATTTTCAGTTGAGGGTAATGCGAGTCACCTCCGACGAGCGTTATTTATGTGTAATTCTGAATGTAATCGGAGAATTATTTTGCAAGAGAGAAAACGTTGTGTGGATGTATTTTAGCCATTATTCGTGTCCTCCTTAACGAAAAGTAGGTAAATTGCCAAAAAAGTGCATGTTGCGGACTATTGTCATTAGTATTTTCGCGCACAATTCAAGTGTGGGAATAGGTTTTCGATCAATTGAAGTCACACAACTATATTCTCTCTTTTTTTACGAGAAACAACACTTTTTTAATAATAATATCGAGAATAATATCAGGTGTATTAGTATTTTTCTATTTTTCTTGCTCTTTGTTATGAAAGAGTGCGCAAATGTTGAATATTTTGTTACCAAAATATCCAGCTTATAAACTTCTACAAGACTCTTTAAGACTCTTTCGATTTCAAAAGTCAAATAGTGAAAATATTTTAAAAAAACGTGCAAAAAATCATGCAAAAGGTGAATGGCGCCACAATTCTGGGCAAATGGGAACCTACCCAAAAAGTGATTTTAGCATGTTTTTACTACATTTCATACCCTAAACTAAATGTGGCGCGGCAAAAAAACCACGTCTTGTAGAGCTCGCTTTTCTCTATCGAACTGCCTGTATGGCTTCTTCCTTTCGTTCCGGTTTTATTACAAGATTTTGCCGAGCAAATTTCGCAATTTGTGGGCTCAAAAGTCAATATTCGGAGTGCAGTGGAAAGAAACAAGTAGCGTTCGTCGTGCCGACTCACTTCACCCTCGACTGTAGAAGACAGATATACTGTCTGCGTGTGCTAATAATGAGGCGAATCAATGTAGCAACTTCACGTACGATGAAACGGTAAAACCATTTCTGTTCAACTATTTATTAACTTTCGCAAATAAAATAGCTTATTGTCTTTGTAAAACAAACGTGAGGATATAAAAGGTCTTTATTTATTGTGAATTTCTCACCAGTAACGCTGTTCGGGCACTCTCGCTGAACGCTCGGCTGATTTTCTTCCCATTGTACTCTTGTCATTAGAACTACACAAAAGATGTAACAACCCTCTCATCTCGCAGTCGGTCGTCGGCGTCCCTCCGGTCCGCCACTCCCGGCTGCTCGATATTCCTCATAGCATGTACACTTTGTCAAATGACAGGCGCCTTTCTTCCCCACCATTCACACACAATTTAACTGCCTCAACACAATCAGTATAAACAAATCTCCCATCTGCAGCTTGTCTTTCCTTTATTGAAAGTTATCAGATACTGACAACCCGCCTTATCGATAGGGCCACATACCAGATGCATCTAAGACGCTCAATGCATGATTCATCCATTCTAGACATCTAATTTCACAGTCTGATACCGCGCGCTAGCTATCGATCCATTTTATGATTTGCGACTATTATCAATCAGCCTCATCTATCTCCACGCGCTATTCGTGACGTTTCTGTCATTTATTGCCTTCAATCAAGCCACAGATAGACACCATTCGAACTACTTTTTCTCAAGAGACCATGTGGCGAGTCTTCGTCCATGTTCCCAATACAGTATGTGCTTACCCAAATTGCCGAGTTAGTAAATTCTTAGTTGATGCCTCAAGTCATATCTCGACGCTATAAATATGCTCTTCCGTCGACCATAGGTTCGATCGGAAAAGACTACTCTTCAAATGGCAAATATTTCGAGAAAAACGATTTTTAATCTTTCACTCTTAGCGCTTGGCCCTCGCCCACACCCGTGGCCATGAGGGGCCACATCGTGTCACCCTGAACACACCATTGACCAGATCTCCGACCTTCGGCCACCGTCGCCCACGTTTTGCCACAAACAAAAATTTTATTTCATATGACCCTCCTTACAGTCGAGGGAATAAGAAGAAACAAACGATGACGCAATACAATAAGCACTAGGGCCACTTCAATCGAACAGCATCGCAACCCTACACAACATATCAAACGCACCACGAAGCATACACAAGAGTCAAAAATATAGAACGTCAAACAGCAATCTTAGTGTGCCCTAAGTCAATCCCACTTTCCAGGCATCCTCATCCACATACCTCTGCCCATCAACTTCACTACCACGAGACCAATCGCCATTCTATCCAGAAATAGGCATCTCCGCGAAAAAGCATCTCTAACTCCCATTTATGAGTCCAACTGGAACAAACACTCAACTACAAAAGAATACTTTTACCATTAATACAAATTTACCACGACCACCACCAACAATCATCACTTCCTCGTGTCGGTTTTCTTTCTTTACCTTTGTCAAATTTCCATATATTGAACAGGTTTAACTCAATCAATTCGGATTACATTTGACACGTCTGACTCTAGCGAATGTATCTTTTGATATTTCTATTTTTCGCCTTCAGTGCATTTAGCTAAGGTGCACGCAATGCAAAAATCAAGTGAAATTTATTTTGACTTTTTTTCCACATGGTTTGATAGAGCATGAGCTGCTGATCACGATGGACTACTTTCTATTCGTTCAAGAAGCTA